GTGCCCACCCCTCACAGAAATCATTTTTGACGTACCACCAGCCACTGGACTCTTTCTGCAGCACATCAACCTCCTCGCCTTCCTCAAGAGATACCTCACCGCTTTCCTCAGCGAAAAATGATCGAAGAACGACATGCTTCTTTCTACCGGGGCTGTCTCTTCCATAGCTATTTCTTGCACCAAATTGAGGTGAACACTTTTCCTCCAAGCTGAGGCGTGTCTCCTCTAATTCAGAATATTCAGAGTCAATAGCCGAACTCCCACTTTGATTTGAAAGGCTCTTATCAGCCTTGGAACTTTGCTTGCTTGATTTGTCATCAGGCTTCCTTTTCTTTAGCTGTTCTCGCTCGCTTAACAAATGATCAAAAACACCACCAGCACTGAACGATCTCATCTTCAGATCAGGTCTTACTGACTCCGCGTTTTTGTCCCAGATTTCGTAATGGAGGGAAATCGCTCTCGACTTACTGGTAATCATTAAGATATCATCACCTGAATATAGCTTATTCTGCCTGTTCATCTTTCGATAAAGGTGGTCTCTCGCTTCCTCGCTAAAGACAGGCAAGTCCTCTGCAAGCCCGTTGAATCTATTTGTATGCCTTGGTTTTTGCTTTGCTATTGGACCCTTTTCGGGTATATTTCTAAGCGGATCTCGACCTGTTAAAAACAATAAAAAAAAATGATAAAAATATCCTTTTTCAGGATCAATTTTGTTTCAACACATTCGAAGATTTGCACTTGTTGTTTGAGGAGTTAACTACAAAGTTTAAAAACGCCGGCTTTACCAATAATATGCAATAACTGCATTGAAAAAAATATATATATCCTTACCGCTTAATATTTCCGCCACTTTGATGACGTTTATCAATTTCTCTTCCTCTGGGGACCTGAGGATGGTTTAGATGAATCAGTACGACTTGGGTGATATCAAGAGATTATTGTAAGAGAGTGAATCCCTAATATAGGTCCTTTAACTAGGGCAATCCCTCTTAAGTTATTTTTAGACATTGTACAAAGTTCTTCCGCGAATCGTATTACTTGCACGTTGCGTGGACAGCCGAAGCGACTTTCTCGAAACTACAGGAGACGAAATGGCGCCGGGAAACGTCATTGTATATGTTTTGATTTCGTTTCATAGCAGAGATGTTCCCTGCACTCTCAGCCGTCCTTTTGTTCGGCCGGGCTTTCGTTTGTTTTGTACTCGTTTGGCTGTTTATTATTTGGCCGTTTATTCGATTTTATTTTAGGGACTAAAATTTAGCAAAGTTTAACGGCAACGAGTACAATGGCTGTGTAAGCGTGCGTTATAATTCTTTGGTCATTTCTTCACCGTTGTTAACGAAAGGTCACACTGAAACAACAACGTGAAATAGCCACCTTCTGCATATTTGAGAGAAAGTGAACTATACGAGGACAATTTTAAAAATTCCTTGTCTGAAATTTGACGCTCTTACGTATTCTTTTTGAGATATCTCTAACAGCATTGCTTGTTTTCAAACCGTGAAGAACTAGGTACGAGTCTGTAAATTATGGGATTAGCAACTATTGATCCACATGGTCAGAAAGAGCACACCGAGGTTCACAAAATCCCCAAGTTTCACTGAGATACAGTGACTTAAAAACGTCAAAATTAACAAAGAAATGTATGGCCATCCGGACGCTGTGTCGTACAGCGTCCGGATGGCCATACATCTCTTTGTAAATTTGACATTTTCAAACAGCTGTATCTTGCTTACTATTGGGTCTATTTACACCAAACCTGGGGATTTTGTGAATCTTGGTGTGCTCTTTCTGACTGTGTAGATCAATAGTTGCTAATCCCATAATTTACAGACCCCTACCTAGTCCTTCACAGTTTGAAAACAGGCAATAGAATTCTCGCGAGATTCGCAGGTTGAATATTAAGTTGTCTTTTAATCGACATTGTTGCCGTTGCTGCTTAAACTGCTTTTTGCAACTTGGGCAGCGAGCGCCTGCCTGCACTTTTGACCATCTGTTTGTTCGGTGGCCTAGCTTGTGTGGGTTGCCTAGCTTGTGTGGGAAAGTTTGTGGTTTGTCGTTTGTCTAAATATTTCTCTGCCGTTCATTCAGTCATCCGTATCTTATTTAAACTCCTATTAAAATTTCGAAATGTATTAAAACATACCGAGAGCCGAAGCTCTCTTGCTTGTAATCAAAATATCAAAGAAGACATCCCAAAAGTGTTGGAGGTTTTCCTTTGCTTTGAAACGAAACGAAACGACATACATGTAAAGAGATCCTTCACGAAAACATTCACGCACCGCACGAGTAATTTCCGCGGGTTAACTGGGTACAATGTCTAAAAATAACCGAAGTTAAGAGGGATTGCCTTAGTAAGAGGACCTATATGGGGGATTCACTCTCTTACCTTGATGATCTCTTGGTCATATTCATACCTTATAATTGTTCCCCGTTGTCCGTCAAGAGCACTGAAAAATTTCAGGACAACTTCAGATTCTCGCACCAAACTTGGAAGGGCTAACACCTCCTGTAATTACACAAAGATAATTAAGCACTGTATTCCAGAATTTGCCGCGTGTGTGCAAATAGACTAGATTATCAAACAGTGTAAAGGGAGGCAGCGTTGTCGAGTGGTTTAGGGCGCTGGATTTGAAATCTGGAGATCCTTGGTTCAAATCCCTCACCCTACTGCTATCTGGATTTGTTCTCGGTAGTCCCGAGTTCAACTCCTCGACCACCTGTTTTTTTTGTGTAAATAGCCAACTGGTCAGCCTCCCACCAGTTGGGTTTCTTAATAGTTTATGTTATATTTACAATATTTGTTTATTTATTAACAGTGTCCCCAATTAGCACAGTAGTGCTAAATACATTAGACACTTAAATAAAGTTGATGTTATTGTTGTTAAGACTCGAGAGGAGCGACGGAAATTGAGTCTAGTTTGCAAAGCGACCTAATATTTAAGCAGGTACTGACCACAAGCTTTTATGGTTTAGTTAAGCAATAGACCACAAGTTTCTATGGGTTATAAGCTGTTAAACCACGCGAGTGGTTTATCAGCTTATAACCCATAGAAACTTGTGGTCTATTGCTTTTATATAATAACTCAGAAGACGCGCGATTTTTCCGTGGGTTTACTGGCACAATAACCCACAGCTGATTGACCAATCCGAGCGCGCGCATTGATTTGATTATTATATAAAAGATGATAAACCACGCGGGATGTTTGTAGAACCCGAGAGAAAGTCGTAACTCACTTGCCTGCAGCTCGAACTTGGTAGGTTTCCTCTCATTATAGCTATCAATCAGAAAATCATGAACTACTCCTTCTAAGTAAGAATAATTGCTCTATTGTGAAACAAATCTTCTCATGTTGCAAGATCTTCATCACGTTGGTGAAAATCCTTATTATTCCAATTTAATAAGTATGTCTGAATATCATAATTTCCCTTGTTTTGATCTTACATACTTAACTAACGCTAAAATCAAACATTATGTTGGCCTAATGCAATAAAAGTCTTTTAAATATTGGCAACATACCATGAAAAACTCTACTAAACTATAATTTTTCACCCTCCTCTTATGTAGGCCTAACCGCCACAAACTAAGCGAAAGAAAAGAACCAGTAAAATTTAGGATAGGCAATCAAAAACTAAGGATTGAGACCGGTAGATATGATCAAATTCCAAGGGTTAATAGACTTTGCCCTATTTGTGCATCTAATCAAATTGAAGACGAATCTCACTTTCTTATATATTGCAATAAATGCTCTATTCTAAGAAATAAATTTTATGAAAAAATAGAACATATCATTCCGACTTTTAAACAATTATCCTCCTTACAAGCCATTAGCGAACTTATGACTTCTTTAAATCATTATATTAATATTCAATAAACAAAATATATTTCATCTTGATTTGAACTACGCAATATTCTGCTTTCAAATCAAACCAATGTAACTTAATTGCTATATCATAACATTACTATATGATCACGATAATAGTTGCTGTTTTAGTTTTAGTTTATAAAAGCTTTTGCAACACTGTTTGTATTTATGGTCATGCAAATAAAGCTAGTTGTTGTTGTTGTTGTTGTTGTTGTTGTTGTTGTTGTTGTTGTTGTCGAGTGTTCTTCCAACATCCCAAGTGGTTTATCAGTCTTTAAACCATAGAAACGTGTGGTCTATTGCTTTTATATAATAATTCAGAAGACGCGCGATTTTTCCGTGAGCTAACCGGCACAATAAACCATAGCTGATTGACCAATCAGAGAGCGCGTGCTTAGATACATGGTTAGAGTTGCTGGATTAATGATGTAAGAATTTACCTTGATAAAGTTATCCATTCTCAACATCTTTTTCAACTCGCTGTCTTTAAAGAGAATGCGGGAAAGTGCTGAAGCATTTTCTGTAAAGTAAGATGTTCTAATCAGTTTGTGAATTTGAGCTGAAATTGCAATGATACGTTCTAAGGTCACTGTCATGTTTAAGTCAGCATAATTAGCATACATTATTTTGCACACGGTCAGTTGGGTTGTGGAATGAAGACTCTAAGATGGCGTTGTGTGTGTACTAACAAATATTACGGTCACCATTTTACAGCTGTGTGTATACATGTGAATGCACGAGAGGCTGGAGTTGACCTTACTTTGATACGGACCTCTCTGTTTTTTTCATTTAAAAGCAAACTAGTTCGCTAGAATTCTCATGTCAGCTATTCCACCATAGTCTTCCGAAATATTTGTCCGATGACATCGAACGTATTCAGAGGCGCGAAATGCGAATAATTTTTCCTCGTTTATAGTACTGTGAGGCAATAGACTTGGTCGGAATTCCGACACTTTCAGAGAGGCGTAAATCATTATCTATTAAAATTTTTATTGTTATTTATTAATGGTGTTGTAAGTAATGAACACCACAAGCTGGCTCTTATATGGCCAGTTCCCACGCTTGGCGTCTGACAAATAAGAAGCGTTTTAATATCCCAGTCTGTCGCAACAATCGTTTCATGAACTCTTTTAT